AGAATGTTACGCGTTACTTTATTAGCACACACACAACTACTGTATTTTTGTCCACCCTGTACCAATTGGAATCAACATGTGATACATTTTTGGAATCAGCTCAGCTAGAGTAATCCGAAAATTGAGACAAAATGGGGGTGTTCCATTTAAAAAAAATGACGATGACGTCATTACTCGAAGGTAATTCACCCTGTATATTAGATTATTATTTTAAAATACGGTAAATTAACATCAAAAATCGACGTGTTTCAGGATTATTTCTTAAAATGACCTGTTTAGCTAAGAATGAATTTGTTCCATACTTTACGGACACAGTGTATATATATTGTAAAAATAATGATAATAATAATGCACATATTTCAGTAAATTCAGAAAACACTGGTTCATATATAAATATATATCCAACTTTACTAGAACAAATCAAGTTTTATCTTGATAATAGTTTCCCTTCAAAAACACCAAACAGATTCAGGTAAGTAGAAGAAGTAAGGGAAATGTTATCAACTGTGATGAATATTTACTTCAAATATCTACCTCGGCTTTATAAAATTATATATTTTCAGAACTGAAAAAACCGTGCTACCTTATTATAACACTTTATTTGCAATTCGATTATGATATATTTGAGTACGACGTCAAAACAACACCTTGAGACCAAAAAAGTTCGTTTTTAATTCCAAATCATACATAATCGCTTATCAGTCTAGTTAAATTCGGATGACAGATTTGCTACTTTGGGTATCAGGTAGCTAGGGAATTTTGAAACATAAAATCAAATAAAATTTTTCAGTGGTACTTTTATCAGTACTATTTGAACGAATTATAGTCATTTCGAATGATCACTTTATCATTTCATAATTTCATGCTGGAAAATTCCACAAATACATGCGCATATTCGCATACACAAAAAGGCTATTGAAAAACTTACCTCGCAAGAAAATTTTTGTGTACATGTAGATAGTATGGGTACGGTAATATATTGTTATTTTCTTGAAAATATAAATGTAATGACAACATTTTCGTATGTCTTGATTTCAAGACATAAAAATTGCATTTATCCAAAAAACGAGTCAGATTAAAATGTATTTTGACTGACGTTAAAAAATCTTTCACAGATTTTTTTCAACATATAATTTCGTTATTGAAATCTCAGTGTACTTCATATGTGATTCGAAAGTTTTCAATAAATCTTGTAAAGTACCCAACTATTCATTCAACCACCGTGATTTTTTCAAATGATCTTCTACTAATAATCGTATCTCATTTTATGTTAGATAACAAAAAAGGTTCAAAACCAAAACAGATTCATTCAGTATCTAAACCTTTTAGAGGGCCAATTGTTGACAAATGTGTGATATTTCTGAAAACATTTCTGTACGTTTCATATATTATACCTAAATAATCATTTTTATGAATATCAACATTCTCCTCCATTTCTAAATAAAAGTTTATAGTTTCTATATTTCATAAGCTGTTTTGACTATTTACCTAATGAAGTGTGTTAAAAGACTGCCTATCTTGATTACGGACAATAAATTGTCTTCCTGAATATAGGAAATTCAGAATATTGTAAACTATGTCTAGTTAAAAAAATAACATATTGTACATATAGTTTTTTATTTTTTTGAAAGAGATTTCAACGTGAACAACCAAAGCATGTATACNATCAGAATGGAGTAGTAGAAAGCCAAAAACAAAAACTAATCACTCCTAAAAATATAACTCCTTCAATTCAAATAAGATTTCTCTTGGCTGGGATTCAGTCAAATGGGTGAATGAAAGTCATTACGATGTCATCGATGACATAAGTAGATCAAACTTATTCCGTTATATCAAAAATCGTAATTCATGAATGAATTGTGTGTATTTTCTATAATGTTATCCACATTGGTACTGAAGAATCTTAAGGTGTGTGTCTTATGGCGAAACATCGATGTATACCAGTGAGGATGACACTGATGAAAAGTATCTTCTGTATAATTCAGTGTTCATGTGAAAGTATTTGTTTCGAAAGATTTTTTTCTTTCGTGTAATTCAATGTTTATATGAAAGTAGCTGTTTCAGGAGGGCTTTCTTCCAGTTTGTGTCTGAAAGTTGTTTCTTTGCATGATCTACAAATCCATGTATATAGTTACTTATTTTCAAATTTAATACTTCCCTCATTTCTTTGGAAAATTCCCACATTTTTTTGTGTCAAGATGGAGTAGTAGAAAGCCAAAAACTTTCTTTTCCAAAGAATTTCACTACTGTTTCTAACTTGTAACGAAAACGACTTTATAACATATTATGCAGTTTATTGAAATACGTTAAATAATATGCCTGAGGAAATGCTAATTTCCGTAATTAAAGACATGATTTATAATTTTGGGATAAATCAATAGAATAGACACATTTTCTAGAGTAGGACTTTGTTAACGCCTAAAATCTTAGTGGCCGTATGCCTATGGCATTTCATGCAACTCTGTACTTTGTATTATGTCGTATGACAGTCAAAAATAACCCGTCTCATCTATCAGATGTATTCATCCAGAAATCTTGTACAAAGTTAATTGTACTTTTTTCTGAGAACCACACACTCCACAATCCACTCATTACCCAAAATAAGCATTGGAAAAGTTTTTACGGAACATCAACTACATTCATCCTCACCACCAGTTTAGAATGGAAAAGAAAAACGAAGGAAAGATACTATTTCTGGATGTTCTGATCAACAAAAAAACCAACGGACGAATAGATCACGTAGTTTGTCGCAAACGTATTCATACTGATCGGTATCTCAACAAGAACTCGAACCACCAAGGGCAAAAACGTACTATGAAGAAACCGTTGCTGATTATGCCACCAGAATTTGTCAACCACATCTTCTTGAAAGAGAACTTCGTCATCTAGACCAAGCTCTACAGGCCAATGGTTTTACAGCTCAAGAAATCAAACGTGCTCTACATCCTAGAAGAAAAAATATTTCAACATCGACAACGATACAGCTGTCTATTTGCTTCATATGAACAAATTAACAGGCTCTATTGGAACGTCTTAAAATAGGACCATTCACAAGTTAACTAATCAAGTACGCAACAATATATCAGATCGGCCAATGTCAAAAGAGAGCCTCTGATATATGCCGGTGTTTACAGGATTTAAAAAGTAAAGAAGCATTGAAAACAAGCACAGTGATTTAAGACTTGAACTGGTCAATCATTGAAGCGGAAATATCGAAAAGGACACCTCTCAAGATTTTCAAAAGGGAGTGAAGGATTTCTGATCCGTCAAAGTTATCATTCCATGAAGGAATTCAAGAATATTACACCACGCATATCCTAAAATACCAAGGCCATAACCTTTCCAGATGATTACTGTGCTTTCGGGCCCTTTGGACGAGGTTCACCAGTTGCTCTCCACTCAGATGATGATCGTTTTGATTCTGTAGTGAAGTGATGGATTCATCTTTCATCCATTGCTATATATCGACGCAAAAAATTCAGTTTGTTATGTTTAAACATGGCCAGATACTGCTCAGAATCATCAAGACGTTCTTGTTTTTGGTTAACAGTGAGGTCACGCGGCACCCACTTTGAACAGAGCTTTCTTATAGTCAAATATTCATACAATATAAAACCAACTCATGCAACTTCACTTTTCGATCATTCAAACCGATTTCGGGGAT